CAGTAGCGATGTTGGTCACGATGATGACGACGACGACGACGGCAAGGCCACTAACGGCGCCGTTGCTGATCACGCCGCCAACGATGATGGTGTCCTCGCGTCGGCGATGAAGGTTTTGAAAAAATTTCGACACGCACGCGCAGCCGACGAGCGCAAGCGGTTCCCATGGTATTATTTGACAGAGATCGCGCCCGCCCAGCACGCCCGCAAGGGCGCTCGAATGATGTCGACACGCGCGCGCGAGAGGCCGGCCCGCTTGGTCGCATTTGATCCAGATGTTGGAAGCCCAATGGTTTTGTCATGAATTCGCAAGAGCGCGCGCGCAGACCTTCGTTCGAAAACTGGTAATACAAAAACCACGTGTTTATACATGTGTTCGGGACACTCGATTGTGAAATCGCTCCGGTACGTCAGGCTTCTTAAGGATTCCAGCTTGCGCGCGCGACGACACGCGCATGCACGTCTCGCCCCACTATTTGAAAGATTCTTGAACATTAATGGTTCGGGATAAACGAGTGCGCGAGCATCAATCCACCCTGCCGAACTTGAAGCCGTCAATCCCATTGCTCTCGCAATCACCCCGCGCACCCACCCACAACACGGCATGAGGCAGCGATTGCGTTGATTGCTTGGCGCTGGCTAGCGCGTCGCTGCGGCCGCGCTAGCGCGCGCAGGCTCGCGCGCAGAGCGGCCAGCTAGTCTGGCGCGACCGAAGCGGCCGCGGTGGCGCTGACAAGTGGGGACTTCGCACAAGTTTCGCAGGCCGCGCTCGTCCTGCCGCCTTCCTGATCGATTTGGGCCTGCTGCCTAGTCCCAGCAGGGGCTTGAAGAGCCCAGGAAAGCACAGGGGACCGTCGTCAAGGGCGTCCAGGGTGCCCCCGGGGCCAGGGATCCGGAGGGGTCCGGTTTAGGGGGGGCGCAGGGTCCTTGACTATAACAATACAGCCAAGGGAATATATGTGCAGGTATGTATGTTGTGCCGTCGATGCTGCGCCATAAAGTGTAATCGTGGATTGAGATTTCTAGATACGCTCACACACACACATGCACAAAAAGATGTGTGGTTGCGCCACATGTTTGGCAATCTATGTGGTGCACTGAATGGTGTGCAAAATATGTGGCGCAATCCGTCTTGTGAGCGATCGGCAATCAGGAGGGGGGAAAAAAAAAAAACAGACACAATGAATCGTCGCTCCCCCGGAGAAGATGGGAAAATATGGGAGGTGGGGGGAAGACAAGAAACCCCAAAATATGAGGAAAAGATTGGGAATCCTGCTATTCGTGTGTGTATTTACTTGGGTGTCCCAGGGCCCCCTTCAGGGAAGCGCGCCGCAGGCGCGATTTTTTTTTTCCCGTGCGGCCCACGTGGTGCGATCCCGCGGCGGCGGCGAGGCGGCGACGGTCAGCACGCCGCCGCCGGACCGCCCGCGCGGCTCGGGCGACGGGGCGGCGACGGCCGGCACGGAGCCGCGAGGCTGGCCAGCCGGCAGGGCTCGAGCGAAACGGTGGTTTGGCAATTTCGTGGGCCGTCTTCGTTCTGCCTTCGTTTTGCAGCAAGTGTGGAACGAGGACAGGACCAGGGAGGACGAAAACAGAGCGGAAACGGAAGACACTGTTTCATTCGAGCCCTGCCAACCGGCTCAGTTCCTTTCACGGAGCGCGTTCCACTACTCGCACAGTGCTTACTCGCAAACGTCAGAAACAAAAAAACGTGTCTTACTTCTCCTGAAATGTATAGGAAATCTCGACGACAAATAAAAAAATACCCCAGAAATTGACAAAAAAGGCCAGAAAATATTAAAAAAAGAGTCCCCAGACTATTTTTGGATGATTGTTTGATTATGTGTTTGGGTTTTTTTAAATTTTTCGTCGAAAATCCCCCTGTTGGGGGACAGGCCCAACTGAAGGCGAGGCTGGCCAACCGGTGCAGGTCCTTTCACCGAGCACGTCCCGCTACTCGCATAGTGCCTACTCGCAAACGTAATAAGAACAGAAAAACATTTATAATATAAAAAATGTCTCATTTCTCACGAAATGTCTAGTAAAGCTCTCGCGGCGGATCCAGGCCATTTGCGATCAGCTACTCTCCTGCGAGTCGTGGAACGCGCTGTCCTGTCCCTGGAGCAGAAGTAAGAACTCCCCAGCGCAAACATTGTTTGAAGGATCATTGTTGGCTCCCCCGTTGCAGTGCACCTTATGTTGCTGCTCGACGGAAGTGTTTGCCCCAGAGCTCGCAACCTGTATACTAGGGGAGGTCTCGGGGTTCAGATTGTGCTGTTGGCCCCCGGTTGACAACAACTGCGGCTCCCGCCTGAAATCCCCCCACAATGTATGAAAGGATCGCGCTCTCGCGCGGGATTTCTTCGCAATTTATCCCGGAATCGCGCTCCAGCTTGGGATTCCCTTGCAGTTTACTATGACGCCGTGCCCCCGACACTCAGGAATCACGCTCTCGCCGTGGATACCCTCACGACTTTCATCTAACAATCGCGCTCTGACGCTTCCGCGACCCGCCCGGTCGACCCGGCCGTCTGGGTCTGCCCGCCCGCCCGACCGACCTGCCCGTGAGGGTCCGCCCGCCCCACCCGCACGCTTGGTTCTGCCGTGTTTTCCGGGACTGCGCCAACTACATGTTGCAGGTAAGAAAGATATATCCCCAAGGGCGGTACGATCGAAGAAGAAGAGAGCGGGCATCGAGGGTTCGGGAGACGCGTGTTGGATGACAGGCGAGCAGATAGAAGCGAGCAATATTAAAAGGATTGTTGGTTGTTGCAAGTTAGTTTCACCAATCTAGTTCCCTTTATGGGAAACATGTTGAGAGCCCGGCGACCCCCGCGGGGGGGCACTTCAAGTAGAAAAGCACAAGGCGCATTGGACAGGGAATTGGATTAATTTTTCTTTTCGGACACGGGAGTGAAACAAGGACCTCACACATATGCCGTTTAGGAATACATCGAACTAAAAGTATATACAAACACAGACCTATACATATACATGTACATCTACAAATGCGATCACATAGACATGTATACGTACACATATGCATAAACATTTACATATACACACATATATTCAAATATACACATACACCTCAATCGACGTACACACATCCACATGTGCAGGAACGTATACAGATGCACATACACAAATATACCGCTACGTATGCGTCGACATGTACATACACAGCTTCAGTTGTATCTGCATTCACACATCAGGTTGTGCATGTATAGATATATTCATATACATCAGCATCTACATCTACGCATGCATATACATATGTATATGTGTAGACATACATAAACATAAGCACATGCATACACCTATACATACAAATTTACATAGGCATATACGTATGCATCTGCATTATTTACAAATGTAGACACATGTATACAACCAAACATACATACACATATACAAATTCCCCCTATCAGAGCTTGCCTCTGTAGGGGCCGTAGCGGATTCACTCCCCAATCAGAGTTTGCCGCTGTAGGGGTCCTAATGGATTCATCTGGCTAGGTTAGGTTAGGCGCCGATTTGGGCGGCTTGCCCTGGTGCCCTGTATCCCTCTAGGCCTATAGCCCTTTAGCCCTATAGCCTTGTAGCCCTAAAGCCCTATAGCCCTGTAGTTATACAGCCCTGTAGCCTTACAGCCCTACAGCCCTATAGCCCCAGAGTCTTATAACCCTACAGCCCCATAGCCCTACAGCCGTTAAAAGATTATGATTCGGGTTTTCCTTCGGTGCTATATGGTTAGGTGAGGTTTGGCGCCGATTTCGGCGGCACGCCTGGGTGCCCGGTAGCTCTATAGCCCTTCAGCCCCATAGCCCATATAGCCCTCTAGTTCTATAGCCTCATAGCCCTAATAGCCAAACCCTATAGCCTGATAGCCCTGTAGCACTATAGCCCTGTAGCCCTACAGCCCTATAGCCCCAGAGCCTTCGAGCCCTAAAAAATTATGATTCGGGTTTTTCTCCGGTATCACACACACTTACGAATTTGCATGCAAATACGTATGCATGTCCCTAAACACATATTACCCGAATCAGAGTTTGCCTCTGTAAGGGTCTTAGCTGATTCATATGTTTAGGTGAGGTGCGTCGCCGATTTCGGTGCCCGGCCCGGGTGCCCAGGAGCCCAGGGGTGCCCGATGGTGCCCGGGAGTGCCCGGAGGTGCCCGGGTGCTCTATCGCCCTAAAGCCCTTTAGCTCTACAGCCTTATAGCCCAATAACCCATATAGCCCTATGGCCCTATAGCACAATAGGATTTCATGAAATATCAAAAAAGACTATGATTGGGCTTGTCTCCGCTATCATTATACAAATGCAAAGGCAAATACACATGTACATGCAAATGCAGTTACACATGCAACTACATATTCAAATACACGCATAAATGCGTTATGCAGATTCATTCTGTGCTACCGAGGGCGACTGCTCAGCGTAGGTCGATGCGACGATCATTCCATATTTCTGGCGCTCTATAGTTGAAGCCAGGCGCCGCGCGCGGCGCCCGATGCGGCCCCAGCCCCTCGACCTAAGGACCACCTTCGCCGTGGAGCACTTGGGCCGGCGCCCTGCGCCCCCCGCCTGCCCCGCGCGCCTGGCCCGCAGCCTGGCCCGCGCGCAGGTCGCGCGCCCAGCGGCTCCACCCTGCCAAGCCTGCCCAAAGGCAGGCTTCACCTCGACGGTTCCGCCCGCGGGCGCGGCCGCCAGCCCAGGGCCTCCGCCGGCTGCCCAGCCAGCCCAGCGGGCCAGTCGCGCGACGACCTGGCGCCTTGTGCTCGCTGGGGCTGGTCACTCTTCCTCTTGGGGCCGTCGCTGGGCGCTGCTTTGGGTTTTGGGCTCCCGGGCGGTCCCGAGGACAGCGGTTCGTGCCATCCGCTCGCTGGTCGCCTCGCTGGCTGAGGCAGTGGAGGCGGCGCCGGCGGCCGCAGCGATCGCGGGCGCCAGGCCGCGCACATCGGCCGGCGAAGCCAATCCGTCCTCCCTGAGAAGGAGGCATGGCGGCGCGGACGCTCGACGCCCCCGAGCGTCGCCCCACCGGGTTCTTCGACGACTCCTACGAGGTCAGATGGCACGCGAGGCTGCCTGCGCTGGCCACGCCCAGCCCTGGGCAGTGGATTAAGAGCCACACCAGACCTCAGCATCCAGTTCACCTGCGTCACCACCCACCGGGTGAACCCACTGTCGAGGGGCGCCGAATTCCTGAGGCGGGCCCGCGGAGAGGCCCACGCCTCGCTGGCGGCGGAGGAGCTGCACAAGACATCGGCGGGAGGCGAAGGAGCTTTTCGCCGCGCGCGGGCTCGCCGGCAGTTCCGACGCGCAGCCAGAGGACGGGCGCTGCCCAATCGCCGACGCAGCCCACCCTGGGTTCGGCGACGCGCCGCCCCTGGCCGCCCCAGCCAATCGGGAATCCTTCGTTATCCGCGGGGGCTCGAGCTTCGCCTTCGCGGACGAACCCCGGGTCGCGGTTGAGCGGATGGCCGACAAGGTCTTGGACCAGCGGCGCCCCTTGAATTCACCGAGCGCGTTCCACTACTCGCAAAGTGCCAACTCGCAAACGCGCGAAAAACACATGTCTGCTTTGATGTAATTCATCGTAGATCCCCCGCGGCGCATCCAGGCCATTTGCGAGCAGCTACTTTGCGAGTAGTGGAACGCGCTCGTCTATGAAAGCATCGGGCGCTGGCCGCGACTGGCGGCCGCTCGGCGACGAGCGCGCGAACGGCGCGCCGCTGCTCTCGCCGACGGCGGCCGCCAAGATTCGATCACGTGTAAGAGTGGTCCTTCGCCACGGTGACCTTGGGCGCCGGCCCCAAATGGGTCGGGTGAGTTTTCTTCTCGAATGAGCTCGACCCCGAGTCGAGACCCGCGTCGCGCGGCTGCGCTCGCATCTGAGCGCGCCAGGCCCGGGCCCCCTTGCAATCGAGAGCAGCACATGCGCGGAGCACCCCACAGTGCGCATTTGTCCCCCTTGGGGGGCCGCCCACTGGACGGCGCTTCTCCCGACCCAGGACCAGTCCCGAATCCCGACCCAAATCCCAAATCCTTTTGCTGATTATTCTGGAAAGATGTTCTGTGTCTTCGGATAGATCTTAATGTTTTTTGAATGTCTGAATATGTATGAGTATATTGTTTATATCAATCGGGTTTTTATGGTTGCGAGCTATCTCAAAAGATTCAACCGCGTTCAGGGCCAGCGGACGGGGCTGGTTCGGGGCCACGGCGCCCGACCTGGTCAAACGCCATCGCGACGCGGCCCGGCAGCGCTAGTCCTAGTCGCGGCGGCCCCTGGCAGCGCCTGCTTTCGCAGCGCATTCGAAGTGCCATTCGGGGCGTTCGAATCGTTGCGGCGGAATTCCACGGCTACCGCCGCTGGCGCAACAGAAAATCGAGGCGCGCCCCACCGATCGTTGATGCGGCGCGGCAGCACTGTCTTGCGCGGCAGCGCTGGGCTGCCACTGGCGCCCACGAGGTCGCGCACCAAAGGTCGCCCCGTAGCTTAGGGTCACTCATACGTGTAGTCGAAAGATCTGCACCCGGGCGCCCCGGCCAGGCCGGCCGTTTCGCGGCGTTCGAGCGCGCGTCGACGACGCTCGCGGCGGCGGGCATCATCTCCATCATTCGCCACCTCGACTGGAGGTTGAACTCGGGCGTCAGCGGCAACTCGGGCGCGCGACGCGCGCCGACGCGCGCGCGCGCCGGCCGCATCTGCAAGGGCCCCGACCATGCTTTTCAGCCGCGATCAGTTCGACTACGCCAGCTGCGCGGCGATCGAGCACCTGGCGCGCTGGTTCCAGGAGAAGGAGTCGGCGGCCCGGCAGAACCCACAGGCGCCGGGCTGCACCAACCTGAATGGGGCATTCGCGGCCCCCACGGCCGAGGACGGGCGCGCGCGGCCCCCCGATGTTTCAAAGTGGATATCCCCGCTACGCCGCGACGAGGCGCAGAGCACGAAGCAGGGGCGGCCGAGGAGCGAGGAGGTCAAGAATTTCCGCCAGGCCGCGAATGGCTGCAAGGGGGCGAGGGCGGCAGGTCCTGCGGGGGGCCAGCAAGGCCGCCGACGCCGTCGACGGCTAAGGGCCTTCGGCCCTGGGGCGCCCCGGCCAGTGGGGCAGGACCGATGGCGACACTTGATTCAACGGCGCCGTTTGCCTGGGCCCCCCTTCTGTCGCCTCCCTCGCGACACTGGACTTCCAGATCGGCTCCGAGGGCGATAGAGGCCTACGCGTCAGCAACGGCACGGGCGGGCATGGAGGTCCGACGACGCTGGAGATGGCCATCGACCTGACCCAGTCAAGGACTACCGCGCCATCCACGGCCACGGCGGCCCCTGCCCCCTCCCGCAGACTGGGGAGGTGCTCGCGCGCGGCGGCCATGCTGGGCTAGCTGCGCGGTCGCGAGTTTGGTCGCTGAACGTCCTCGACGCCCCATCGCGCGCCGCTCAGGCGCATGAGCCAATCCCTGGCCAGCGCCCCACGGAGGCGCAACGCTCGATCTTGCGGCGCATCAGCCAGCGCATCCAGAACAATAGCGGCAGGCCCGGCATCAAATCGCCCAGCGTTCACGCCGACCCCACCATGATTCATGACTTGCAATCGGGCCAGCTTGCGAAGGTCCACCACCGACGCGCCAGCTCCGGGATCTCTGCGGCTGCCTGGGGCCAGAGGGTCGCCGGTACCTGGGCCGCGCCGATGACTTCATCTTTAGATCGGAGGCGGAGCTCGACGCCCTCCAGGGCCACAAGCTCATTCTGTCGGCGACGCCCTATTAGGACCCAGTGCGGAGGCGCAACCACCGTGCCCGGATCGTCTTCACCAAGCGCCTGCACGCCGTCGGCTTCGTCGGCTCCAGACATTCAATTCACGACCGCATCAGCGCTTTCTGCGCGGGCAAGAAGCACGGGCCTTTGAGGTTGGCAGTAGATGGCCGAGAGCCGTCCTCGCTTCACCGCAGCCCCCCGCATGTTGCCCTGGGCTCGGCGGGGGAGCTCGCAGGCCTCGACCTGTCGGACCAGGCCCCGGCGCCCGAGGGCGCGGACTGGCCTCCGCCGAGATCCACGCCGCCAGACTCGACCTCGAAGACGGGTTCTACCAGTTCGCGGACGATCCCATCGCGGCCGGGCTCGGCTTCGACTTTCCCGAGATGGCGCCCGATTTCGGCGATCCGCTTGTCCATCTGCCGGCGGACGGCAGCCTCGTCCAGGCGCGCGGCGACGCCCGTGCATTCGCCGTTTTCCGCAGAGGCAGGCCAGGCAGGCCCGTCGCGGACCCGGTTCTCCTGCCGGGACCTGCTCGAGGAGGCCCAAGGCAAAGCGGCCCTGAACACCGGGGCGAGATGCGCCCTGCTCCATTGCCGGACCCCGGGCGGCTGCTCGCGCAGCCCTGCGTTGACAATGCCAGCGCGAACGGCTTCAATTTCGGCGACGCCGAGGGCGCGCTCGGGGGCGCGAAGCAAACATTCGATTTCCCTGGCATCGACTACCAAGACCTGGTCGAGCCCACGAAGCTACACACCACGGTCGGGGTCGTCCTCGACGGCGCCGAAAGGCGCCTTCGCCACACGCCGGCACATTCGGCCAGGGACACCTCCTGCCAGCGCGGCGCTCCACCGGTCGAGCACTTCTAGTGCGCGCGGCCACCTGGCGAACCATTTCACGATACCGAGGCCAGCCATCGCGGCTCTCGACGAGGGCCGCGATTTTCTTCGCCCCGGCACCTGGGCGACTACACCCACCTCGGCAGGCGGCTCCTGGACGAGCTCCGCATCGCGAAAGGGCTCGATCAGCTCGTCGACATTGACCATGCTGCCCCCTGGTCGCACGTCGCCCGCTGCAGCGACGCCTCGGGCGGAGACGGCCGCCGGCGCCACGGCTGGCACGCCCTCGCCGAGACCGCCTGCACGGACCACGAGGTCACGCGCGCCTTCCAGCAATTACTGGGAGCGATGGTCAAGATGGAGGTGGAGGAGCTCGTCGACCCTTGGGCTCCGCACGGCGCCATGCGCGGCTGGGGCCTCGACCGGATGGCGACCTCCGACCTTCTCGCCGCAGGCCCGATGCCTCCGGCTAACAAGCCCTCGGTCGTCGACCGACGCCTTCCGCGCACGCGGACAGTCATATAACAAGGCGCCGTGCCGGCCCTTGATGACGGGCTCGCGGTCAGGAGTCGCCGGAGGGCGATCGCGCGCGGCGCCCTCAGGCACGTCGCCCCTATCCACGCCAAGGCGGCGCGGGCCCAGATGCCGGGCCTCGTGCGCGCCGCGCGCGACCCGCGCATGTTTCGCAGCGGCAGTATGGGCGGCAACGCGGAGGCCTTTCGTAGCTTCGAAAAGGGCGAGGCTCGCGATCGGGCCCTCCTGCAGCTTTCCCAGGTCAGCGCGGCCCGCCAGACCGGCCACGAGATCCAGCGGACGCAACGCCACATCGAGTCGGAGCGCAACCCGACGGACAAGGGCAGCCGCGTTGCCGAGCTGGGCCAGGCCCACCCTGATGACCCTAAGCGGGCTGCCAGCGTGCTTCGGAGGTCGTGGAGTCGGTCGACGTACTCGCGGCAGCTCTGAGGGGGCCGCAGGCCCGTTCTCGCCGGCTTCCGCCCAGCAGAGGCCGCCGCGCCCAGCCGAGTCTGAGACGCCACCCTCGGCGACCAGCCAGAATTGCGCGCGCGCCCCATCCCCGCGCGGGCCGCCCGCAATGCACCCGTCCAACATGGGGCCCAGAGTGATACGCCAACAGATCCTTGGCCTCAGACATCGGGCATCTTGCGACCTCTACGCGGGCACCAGCAGGTTCACAGCAGCCGCCAGAGACATCCGCTTGCATTGCACACCGCATTTCGAGATTGTGAAAGGAAAGAATTTCGGTTTGCACCATCACACAGCCTGTCGCCCAGCATCGCGTCGGTCCCGTCTTAAGAAGGCACGGCTCATCCAGATCGAAAAACTTTGCACCTCGTTAGCTACCTGGGCTCATCGGGCCCTTCATCACCACTACGGGGCGCAAGCTTTTCAAGTCATTCTTCGGCTCCTATGGCTTTATGATCAGCACGGTCTGCACTGGTCTTTGGTAAATCCAGTTGTCTCGAAGCACTTTAGCTGCCCCCCTGGTGGACTTCATCCAGGCAACTGCAGGTGCTTGGGTGGATGCGCTGACAAGAGACCAACAACAGCGTGCCAAGTCTCCCGGGGATCACCTCGCTTGACCGGGCCTGCCCTGCGGGCCATGCTCATGAAATTCTTCGATGGGGTGGGCCACCATCGCATCGTCGCTGGGCACCTCCCGCAGCCATTGGAAGACGAGACCCGCGGGCGCGCACGCGCCCGAGCTCTGCAGGCGGCGGGCCCGCCCTCTAGCCGCCACCGCGCCTTGGAACGCGCTTTGCAGCGATGCTGGTGATCCAGTCTGCGACCACTGGGAAGCTGAGCTGGCGGCCAATTACCGCGGTTCCGCCGTCGAGCTCCAGCGCCCGCAGCCCCGTTGCCCGGCCGGGTCGCCTCCGGAATGGCCCGCTTCGACGCCGCAACGGGGCGCCGCTCGGCCAAGGCCCCGTGCCCCTCATTCACAGCGAGGCAGAGGGCCGGCGCGCCCGCCGCTCGGGGCGCGGCGGAACGGCAGCTCCAGCGGGCGGGCCGGAGGCAGCAGGCCGCACCTGAAGCACCGGCGCGCGCGGCCGCGGACCGCGCAGCTGCGCGCGGGCGCCCACCGCAAGTTCTGAGTTCGGGCGGCCGAGCAGCACCCACGTCAGATGACCCTGGACGAAACTGACAACGCCATGACGAAGTTCCTCGATCGCTTCCACTTCCAGGGCCCTGGCATCGTCAACGCCAGGAACGCGGTCCACGGCACGATCTCCTTGAAGGACTATCATTGAAGGGAGGCCACGATCATGCACCGCTCGAAAGACGCCCTCGCCGGTCGGTTCAAGGCCGGGCCCGATCGCGCGCGCGACCCGCCCCCGCGGGAGGGGGCAGTTCTCACCGCGGACAACCTCGCCGACGAAGGCCCCGAGGGGGTCGACGCCGCCGGGGCCTTGCTGGTCAGCTTCGACGGCTACATCCGACCTTGCAACGCCCTGGCAATCGCCGGCCACGACACGAGCGAGCGCCGTGCCAGGTCGAACCCCAACTATCCGAACCCGGCGGTCACTTTCGCGCTTCCGGCCGACGACCTGGGGCAGCAGCTAGCTCCCACAATGAAGTCGGGCGCCTACGACTGCACCATCGTTTTCGGCGACGAGGCCAGCCCGAAGGCGGGACAAGCGGCGCGACGGGACGCCCTGCTGCGGGCGATGCGCCACCGCCGGCCAACTCGCCCCTCTTCGGTCATGCTCCCCAAGCACGAGCAGCTGTTCAACCAGGCCGTCGACGACGTCGGGCTGTCGGCGCCCCAGGCCACTCCGCGGCGCGCGATGCATTGAGGCCCGATCGCCGACGCAGCTACAGAAAATCAGGGCATGTAAATGCGCGGCCCGTGGCTTTCGGCCACCAGCGTGAGAGTGCATACGAGAAGCACGGCACCCTGATGCGCCAGATAGACCAGATGAGTCCCAAGCAAGTGCGAGAAATGCTGACAGCCTCTCAGAGGCTGCAGACTTTTTCCACGCTTTGAGCTTCGCCCGTCCACCCTGTGGTACGGGTGCGGGATAAGCAGAATATTTCGACATTTCAGGCTCATGGTCTTGGTTCGAGGCTGGATCCTCGGCTGAAGCGACGTCTCCCAGCGATACCCTTGGCAAAGTAATACTCGCGTTGCGTTTCGCGCATCTGCATGCCCAGTTTTGCCCACGTCCGCTCTGGTCGCCCGTGTAGAGTGCACCATCGGATAATTTAGCCATGCTATGTCTAGGACACTTCCTGCTGAAATCTCGAGGGCGACCGCTCATCGAGAATCGGTGCGACAATAATCTCATAATTTTTGTAGTTCTATAGCATCCGCCCGCCCTCACCATGAGGGAGAAGCAGAACATCTCGATCTGGAGGCCGGATCCTCGGCTGAAGCGACGTCTCCCAGTCACACGATTGGCAAAATCAGAATCGTGTAGCTCTTCGCGCACCTGCATGGCCAGTCTTGCCCACGCCCGCTTTGGTCGCCCGTATAGAATACGCGAACCGATGTTTCAGTTGTGTAAACATAGACACACACACATTTGTATAGACACGCGCGTGTATCTTGATTGCCCTTATTGGCAAGATTGTTCATTAACGCGGCCCTTGCGTCAAAAAACACCTAGCAGTTTTACACTGTTACGATGGGAGGCACGATGGGGGATCGGAATAGAGGCAAGGATAGGGATAGGGACATAGAGCTACGGATCTAGGGATCGGGATAGGGATATGGATATAGGATAGGGAGGACAAGGATGAAAAGGATACGGATATAAGCTGAGGGATAGGGATACAGATAGGGGCGGCAATGGAAGGCCACGGGAGGCAACGGGAGGCCACAAGAGGCCACGGGAGACAACGCTGCCTGACCGAGTCCGGATCCAGGCAGCGCACGGGCTGGTCTCTCAGGAAAAGTGCATAGGAGACGAGCTGTTCAGAGAAGAAGCACAAAGAAGTCATGTAACGGAGGGCTGTGGCCTGCTTGCCGCCGCCCTCGTGTGGGGCGCCGGCGGGCGCTCGACGCGAGCAGGGCGCGCAGTGCCAAAAAAAACCGCCGCGCGCCGTGGAGGGCGGGCGTTCGTGACAGGAGGGAAGGAGGAGGAGGAGGAGGAGGAGGAGGAGGGAGGAGGAGGAGGAGGAGGAGGAGGGGGAGGGGGAGGGGGAGGGGAGGAGGAGGAGGAGGAGGAGGAGGAGGAGGAGGAGGAGGAGGAGGAGGAGGAGGAGGAGGAGGAGGAGGAGGAGGAGGAGGAGGAGGAGGAGGAGGAGGAGGAGGAGGAGGAGGAGGAGGAGGAGGAGGAGGAGGAGGAGGAGGAGGGGGAGGAGGAGGAGGAGGAGGAGGAGGAGGAGGAGAGGAGAGGAGGAGGAGGAGGACGAGAACGAGGAGGAAAGAGGAGAGAGGAGGGGAAGAAGGAGAGGAGGGGGAGGAGGGGGAGGAGGAGGAGGAGGAGGAGGAGGAGGAGGAGGAGGAGAGGAGGAGGAGGAGGAAGAGGAGGAGGAGGAGGGAAGAAGGAGGAGGAAGAGAGGAGGGAGGAGGAGGAGGAGGAGGAGGAGAGGAGGAGGAGGAGGAGGAGGAGGAGGAGGAGGAGGAGGAGGAGGGGAGGAGGGGAGGAGGAGGAGGAGGAGGGGGAGGAGGAGGAGGAGGAGGAGGAGGAGGAGGAGGAGGGGAGGAGGAGGAGGAGGAGGAGGAGGAGGAGGAGGAGAGGAGGAGGGGAAGAAGGAGGAGGAGAGGGGTAGGAGGAGGGAGGAGGAGGGAGGAGGAGGAGGAGGAGGAGGAGGAGGAGGAGGAGGAGGAGGAGGAGGAGGAGGAGGCCCCCCCGAGGGTGTCTGAGGTTTGCGTAGGTCCCCGGAGGCTTTCCAGCCGCGAGACGTTATCCAGCAGCTGCGCCTCGCCGAGGCCGTTTGGGAGGTGCCCAGATCGTCCCGAGCGGCCGCCGGGGAGCCGCGCTGTGACCCGAAAGCCAGGTTTCCTCGCGTCGCGGAAATAAATTCGGGGGTGGACATAACCCCCAACAGTGACACGTCGATTAGCGAATTGTCCGTTTTCGGTTCTCGAGATGGCGCCGTGGCCGTTATTTTCCAGGCTTGCGCCCGCCAGGTTTGGGCTTCAGGTCGTTTTCACTAAGCCACGTCTTACTAAAGGGGGGTCTGTCCATCCCCGAAGCCAGGTTTCCTCGCGTCGTGGAAAACAATCACCACCCACCAAACCACACCAAGGTTTTCATTTGCCCTCCACTTCCAGTGGCGGGGGGTCGGGAAACATCGAAAAAGCACATGGAACCCGCAATCCCCCCCAGCCCGAAATTCGGGACACATTCGGGTCTTCGGGTGGGGTTGGGGTGGTCTGGTAGGTAGTCAAAAGAAAACGCGACGGCATGTTTTCGGGCCGCGTTCGGCACCTGGGGGCCTCTGCGGGGCCCCAGGGCTGTCACCAAACTGCCCGGGACGAGGAGCGGGTTCCAATGGAGGGGTCGAGACATCCGGAGGGCCACGTTACACAGTTCCAACAAGGGAAACAAACACAAAAGACGACGTGCCAGACATCGGGCGTCTCGAAAAAATCGAGACGGAGGTTTTTCGTCGTTTTCGGCCTCTCGGGACCCTCGCGGGGCCTCGGGACCGTCAAAAAACGACTCGGGATGAAAAACCGGTCCTGGGGGAAGTAGTCGGGAGGTCGGGGGCCCGTGTCTCGAAAAAATCGAGACGTCGGATGTCTGGGGTCGGAGGTTCGGCGTTTTCGGACGCGTGAGGTTTCGAGGATCGAGGCTTTCGGGCGTTGCTCGACGTCTTTGGCTCTCTGTGGATCTCGGGAGGCTTCCGGAGGTATCCACTACGCCAGAAGACCGGGCGGCCTTCTCAGGAGATGCATCGAGGATCGAGAGCTGAGGGCATCGAGGAAGATCGTGGAGCGACGAGGGGGCGGAGCACGCAGAGGAGGCGAGGAGGAGGAAAAGGAGAAGCAGAAGGAGGAGCGAGGAGGAGAGGGAGGAGGAGCGAAAAACAAGGAAGCGAGGAGGGAAAAGACCATGGGAAGAGGAAAAGGAGGAAGCGGAGGAGGAGGAGGATCGAGCATAAAGATGTTGGGGGTTCGGGGCTTTTTTTATGAGGAAAGATGAGGGAGGCGGACGAGTTCGCCACCGATGTGGAGTTACATCCCCCTCCTCGTCTGGTCTGACCAGGCCTCCTTCGGGTCGGCCTGGTCTGGTCTTTCAATGCTGTCAGAGCTGGTTTGTTTTTAGATGGTCGGTTCTTGTGCGGTCTGGTTTGGTATCGTGTGATATGCTTGGGTCTGTCTGGTGTTGGTGGAGGAGGAGGAGGAGGAGGAGCGGGAGCAGGGCTCGTGCTCTGGAAAGATTTGTAGACCTCCCTTATTGGAAGCCTCTTTGCGCTCGCTGTGGGCCTCTCGGGGACTTTGGGGGGGGGGCGCTCTTGAGTGTCTCTTCGGTCCTCATTGGCCGCCCTTGGGTCCCTTCGAATCCAGGAGGCGTCCTGAGAGTCTGCAGCTCCCTTGGCGGCCTCTACGACGCGTTTGGGGCTCCTCTTGGGAGCCTCTTGGGGACTTATCGGCTACCTGCCTCGGCCGTAATCAGGGCTTGCAGGCTTCCTCGGGGGGTGCCCTGAGGCATCAGGGAGGGGGCCTCATGGACCGTCATCTTGGAGGACATCTTGGAGACCTCGTGCCCCGTCTTGGGAGCCTCTTGGGCCCAAGGGGAGCAGCCTGCTGGAAATGGTCACGCACTTGGAGGGCACATTGCTGAACATCACAGTGCTGAATCTTGCGATATTGCATGCATGATCGGCGCCCTCGATGTCGCACAAGGAAAAGGGCGCCGTGATGACGTTCGGGGGGGGCGGTGTTGGGACCACAGAGAAGGGGGAAGGGGGAGGGGCTGTCCCTTCCCCCAGGAACTGGAGGAGAAGGAGGAGGGTGGAGGAAGCAGGAGGAGAGTGGAGGGTGATGATGATGACGACGATGATGATGATGGTGATGATGATAATGATGGTGATGGTGATGGTGATGGTGGTGATGGTGATGGTGATGGTGATGGTGATGGTGATGGTGATGGTGATGGTGATGGTGATGATGACGACGAGTACGAGGATGAGGATAAGGAGGTGAGAAGGGTGAGGATGATGAAGAAGTTGGTGGTGATGGTGATGGTGAGGTTGGTGGTGATGATCAGGAGGAGGAGGAGAATGAGGATGATGATTGCGGTGATGATTCTGGTGATGGGTGGGGATGAGGATGCGGATGATAATTCTGATGGTGGTGATGATGGTGATGGTGTTGGTGATGATGTTGATGATGGTGATAATGATGATGCTGATGATGATCGCTGTGGTGATGTCGATGTTGCTGATGGTGAAGATGATGATGGTGGTGATGTTGATGATGGTGGTGGTGGTGATGATGAGCATGATGATGATGGTAGTTTTGATGATGATGGTAATTCGGATGATGATGATGATGATGATAATGATGGTGATGGTGATGGTGATGGTCACGCTGATGATGATGAGGACGATGATGATGTTGTTGTTGATGATGCTGATGTTGATGCTGATGATGATAATGGTGATGTTGGTGGTGATGATGAGAATGGTGAGTGATATTATGATAATGGTGGTGGTGAAGTTGATGGTGATAGTGGTGATGAGAATGACGATGAGGATGTGGATGGGGATCATGATGAGGGTAATGATGGTGATGGTGTTGGTGGCGATGATGATATGGTGATGGTGATGGTGATGGTGGTGATGATGGTATGGTGGTGATGGTGATGATGGTGATGGTGGTGGCGATGGTGCTGATGATGGTGACGACGACGACGACGAGGAGGAGGAGGAGGAGGAGGAGGAGCAGGAAGATGAGGGAGGAAGGGAGGAGCGAGAGGGGATGGGGGGGAGGAAGAGGAGGAGGAGGAGGAGGAGGATGAGGACGACGACGACGACGAGGAGGATGAGGAGGACGAGGAGGAGGACGACGAAAAGGAAGAAGGAGAAGGAGAGGGAGGAAGAGGAGGACGAGGAGGAGGAGGAGGAGGAGGAGGAGGAGGGGCTGGGGAGAGGAGCTTGGTAGGAATACGCTCGGCCGCCGGCCTCTCGGAGGGCTGCCAGGATCTTGAGCCAGACGAGGTGGTTTCAGGTAGGATGGCAAAAAGAACGGTCGGCCGAGAGGATGACTTCGGGCGGGGCCCACTCTCCCATCTCATCCCCGTTCCCTTCTCTTCTCGGGCCGGACGAAGGGGGGGGATTGGGAAAGGGGGGGTTACGAAATTTGCTGCATGCAGCTGGTTTCGGCCTCACCGAGGGGGCCATTTCTCGATACATGGCCGCCTCCGGCGCCGGGAGGCGCCGGGAAAATCAGCTACGTGAGCTGATTCTCAAACCCCCCTTTTGCTATCCCCCCCTTTCGCCCGACCCGATCTTCCATGGCTGGTTGCGCACAGGGCGCGCCGAGGGGTGCTCTGGCGCCTGCCTGGCTGATGGCGACGTTGGCAGAGGTTGGCCAGGCCTCTGATTCCCGACGACCGCTTTTCTGGACGGGTTTCGACGGCCACCTCCCCCCGTGGAGGGTGGCACCCTCAGGAAAAACACCATGTCCTCCCCGTTCCCGTCTCGCTTCGCCCACCTCCCTCGGAGGTCCCCCCGGGAGGCCTCCGGAGGCTTCTGGAAGCCTACAGCAACGGGCAACATTCAAAGCGGAAGAGAGAAGCAGGCGGGATCGGGCGGGGCTGGGACTGGGGTAAGTCGTTGGAGGGCATTCCGCAACGCTCCCGCCAGCGTTGCGGGGCGCTTCGGAACGGCCGCGGCGCCCGAGACATCCTCCAGAACCGCCGGACCCCTTCGAGGAGGAGAAGGGAGAGGAAAAGGACGCAGGTACGGAGGCAAGAGGCAGGATGGAGGCAGGAAGGTGGAGGAGGAGGAGGAGGAGGAGGAGGAGGAGGAGGAGAGAGAGAAGGCAAAAGGAGAAGGAGGAGGAGGAGGTAGGAGGAAGGAGGAGGAAGGAGGAGGAAGGAGGAGGAGGTAGGAGGAAGGAGGAGGAGGAGGAGGAGGAAGAGGAGGACGAGGAGGAGGAGATCCCCGACTTGTCTCGGTCCGACTTCGTCCCGGTCGTGGCTTCGTCTCGCGGGTGGGAGGCGTGCGTTGGTCGAGGGCCTGCGGGCTCGGCTGCACTGGGAGGCTCTCGGTGGCAGGGCTAGTTGTCACACTTCCCGCGTGGACGTCGTTTCAGCAGCCGGTGATCCAAATCCAGCCCGATCTTCACGAGTTGCGATCATGCCACATCGGCCTAGAGCGGGGCTGGGGATTCGCGTCCGCCGCATCTCTGCCTTTGCCAGCGGAGTGCTCAAGAGAGCAACTCCAGCGGCGTGACCTTTGCGTACGATGCTCACAAGGCCCGCTCTGACGCCTCCTCCATCAACCGTCCATCCCTCCTCATCTTCCTCCCCGTGATTCCCCCGCATGGCCAACACGCAGTAGCATGAGGAGGGAGGAGGAGGAGGAGGAGGAGAAGGAGGAGGACTGATCAGTCTCGCTCCCTGCTGCTGCCTGCTGGCCCGCCTGAGTCCTCTAGGACGACGACGAAGTTCTTGCGTGGGTTGGCGCTGACCGAAACATCGGTCGGGTCGCTTCAGTTTGGGAGGGGGAGCCATGGCGTCAGCCAGATCAGGAGGTTCAGAGAGGCCTAAAGCACGCGTGCTCCCCGCCCTCGTCTCTTGGAACACCGCCGACATCGAACATATGTTATTGCCGCGCGCAGGTGCTTCTGACGGCCCAGCGGGGGTCAATGCAAACGGGGGTCAGCCAGAGCGCCAGGTCTTGCAGGATCTTGCAGGACCAGGGGTACACTGACTTGGGCTTGGGTGCAGGATCCTACAGGATCTTGCAGGATCCTGCAAGGCCTGACTGACCCGGATTTGCATTGACCCGGGTCAGTGCGTCCCCGACGGCGGAGGTAATGGGGGGAGGAGGGGAGGGGACTCGAACGGGTCGCGATGATTTTACAATTCTCTGTGAGCTTCCCGAATGGTCCATTGTGCTGGAGGATGAGGCGGACGGGGACGAGCACGAAGACGAGGAAGAAGTGGTGGCGGTGGCAAAAGAGGAAGAGAAGGGGGAGGAGGAGGAGGAGGAGGAGGAGGAGGAGGAGGAGGAGGAGGAGGAGGAGGAGGAGGAGGAAGGATCAGGACGAGATAGAGGATAGGGATCAGACAGGAGGAGGAGGAGGAAGAAGAGGAACCAGAGCAAGAGCAGGTCGGTGCAGAAGGGGGATGAGGAAGAGGAGGCGGATCATTTGTTTCGGCAACCACCTCAGACAGGCGTAGACCCCCTCGCAGTGCCTACACACACAACATAAGACAGGCGTGCACCCCGCCAGCCCTTCAAATGGATCTGAAACAGATACTCGGCCACGACCGGCTCAGAAGAGATCCCGCCCGGCGCAACCCACCAATCGCTTGGCTTCGATGCCACCCGCCTCAGACGGCGGCGGCTGCGGCGACGGCGACGGCCACCGCGACGGCGGCCACTGCGACGGCGGCGGCGGTGACAATGGCAACGACGGCGATGGCAACGGCGACGTCGTCGCCGCCGCCGCTGGCGATGCCGACGACGGCGACGGCGACGGCGACGGCCGTGGCTTCGACACCAGCGCCCTCGCCGCTTGTGCGGCACGCGGCCGCCCCCGATGGGCGGACGAGGCGACGGCGGCGGCGGCGGCGGCTGATTGCCGCGAGGGCGATGCCAGCGACGGCGCGGACGAGGGCATGCAGCGGATGACCCCCGAGGTGCTCGAGGAGCGCGCGCAGGAGCGAGGAGGAGGAGGAGGAGGAGGAGGAGGAGGGAGGACAAGGAGTAGGGAAGGAAGGAAGGAACGCCGTGACGATGTCACATGTTACACTCACGCGCACCCTGACCATGTTGAACAGCGAGACGACAAGGGTAAGCACGCGCACGCCCAGTAAGAAAACCTCCACGAAATACAGTGGCTGCCAAACGCCACCTCCCAGAATAGAGCGAATATGACATATCACGGCTCAACCAGAAATTAACGCAGACAGCGCGCAACGACCATGACTTGGGGAAAGACCTTCACCTTCTTGGCGGCGCCTCATGTCCCTCGGTCCATTTTCGCACGTGGCGTCAACCTCGTAGACGTAAAGGGAAATACGATGAACACACAACAACAGCAACCAAGTTTGAAGCCCACCCTATGCCGAACAACGGACGCCAGGTGATGCCCTCCAGCTTGTTTTGCAAATGCTTGTGCTGAAAAAGCGAGCCCATTTGTTCATCAAGACACTCTGCACGATGAACGGGACAATAACGAACCATTGACAAAAGCACGCAGAACCACTCTCTGCAGGCCCATTGCAGCACTGAAGCTGAGAACGCGCCGACGGGCCGCAGCACCAATAAGATGTGAGGCCCAACTGGCACGCTAGCCCATTGCAGCATGATAGGAGAGAGTGCGCCGAAGGGACCGCGTGTTGCACCATCCCAATACTTGCCGGCTGCCACGATGCGCCGTTCTCGCACGTGTTGATCCAAACTTTGTTGCGGTTGGCGGGCGGCTCGCGCGGCCCTGCACAATCCCGCCCAGCAGCGGCGCTCCGCTGCTTCTGCCCCCCCTTCTCGCACTTGCAGATCTGAACGTTGTAGCTGATGACAGTCGGGCGAAGCACCGATGCTCTCCCTCGCTCTCGGCAACTGCTGGGCAGTCCAAATCTGCTTGCCCTTCTCGCACGCGCCGAGACCAGCGCAATAGGAGACGGGGTCAGGATTGTAAGCCCACCACCGAACAAACAGCTGCCACTGCCGCAAAATGAATACAGAGGGTTCCATTCACGATTCACACGATTCTCCTCGATTTAGCCAACCCGTCAGCCTAGGCTCGCTGGCCTGGCAGGAGAGAGGGAGGGTGGGAGGGAGGAGGAGGTGGGATGTAGAGGGTATGAGGATGAAGAGGGGGAGGAAGGGAGGGAGGAAGGAGGAGGAGGTAGGACGTAGGAGGTAGGAGGCGGGAGGCAGGAGGAGGAGGACCAGTGCAATCCCAAGACGCATCAACGATGTTGCAATCAACCCTCCTTCCAAGTTCCTCTTTCATAGGGCCCTACAAGAATTCATCTCCATTGCGGGAAATGCCCCATTGGAAGACAATATTCTGAGAACCCTCAATCGCGCCAGAACAACATTCTGGGGACTTCAGCGTCGCCTATCGACGTGGCGGCTGCGTCCTGACAATCTTAAATCGTGCCAGCAAGCTGCCAATGGGATTTCAAAACCACGAATCAACATGCCTGTTGCGCCCTGACAATCCTAAATCTTGCCAGAGCACCATTCCTGGGACTTCGACCATGCGAAGCCTTCGAGCAGCTGCAGACGTTCAAAACGAGTGTGCGCGGCGCTATGACGAGAGCCACTTTTATATATATATATATATATATGTGAGTATATATATAGAGTGAAAAGAAAAAATAAAATCAAAAAACAACAACCAAAAAAAACGCCCTTCATCCTTGAACTTGCTGCATGTGCTTCGAACGACTGTGCGCGGCGCTGAGGCGAGAGCCAGATGTTCAAAACCGCCCGCCCTCCGTCCCCCTCACTGCTGCAAACGCTCAAGACGGATCCGCGCGGCGCCAAGGCGAGGTCCACATGTTGAAAATCGCCGGTCTTCCATGTCTCAGCGAGGACAAATCCACCCCGACCCCCATAATCGGCGTTTAGTAAATGGCCCCGTGCGTTTACTAAGCAGCGCTTTGTTGTTCGATTCCTTCGTCGGGTGCGTTTACTAAACGGTTGCGTTGTCGGGGTGCTTATTATCGGGGTGGATCTCCAGCCCTCTAATGTCTTAAGCTGTTGCATGCCTCCAAGACCCGTGTGCGCGGCGCTACGGCGAGAGCCGCATGTGGAAAACGGCCCGCCCTCTATCCGTAAAAGTTGCTGCCCGGTGCAGGCTTCAGGGTCTCAAACGGGGAGGAAGTCTCGGGCGCGACGCCTGGCCCGCCCCACTGACACGTCTGGGGGTGCGGCAGAGAGGAGATATTCACAAAGAAATGGGATGGAGAGAGGAGGAGAAAGGGAGGATGAAGCAGGGAAGAGAGAGGAGCACGAGGGAGGAGGGAGGAGGAGGAGGGGGAAAAAGGGAGGACGGAGGAGGAGGGGGGAGGAGGGAGGAGGCAGGGAGGAGGGGGGAGGGAGGAGGAAGGAGGGAGGAGGGAGGAGGTAGGAGGGAGGAGGAGGAGGAGGAGGAAGATAGATGTCCAGACGGGAGGAAGTAGGAGGTACGAGCTACTATGCACGAGGTGCGAAAGAGGAGATACGACGAGGAGAAACAGAAGCAGGAGTACGAGCAGGTGGAGGGAGGGTGGGCAGGGAGGAAGGGAGGGAGGAAGGAGGGAACGAAGGAATGAAGGAGGGAGGAGGAGAAGGAGGAGGAGGAGGAGGAGGAGGGACAGAAGGAGCAGGAGAAGGAAGCAGGAGGAGGAGAAGGCGGAGGAGAAGGACCAGAGCACGCCCAACATACCTCAACGATGACGCAACACACACCCTTACGTCCCCAAGGCCCCCTCATCCGAAGTCCCTGCAAGTCTTCCGTTCCACTGCGGGCGGCCCCCCCCCCCCTTTGACAGACGAACGCCCCGTTGGCCTGCCATCCAGGTGAGCCTTGTTGTAAAAGATCGACCTCTCATCCGTCTACAGTGAGCGGCTTGAATAAGGAACACTTACTTTTCAAAAGGGGCTCGGTCGTTCCTTAGGCTGGCATGCGTTATTTACAGCTCCTTATGCGTTATGTATTATGTATCGTTCCTTGTGCGTTAATCCTTGGGATAAAAAGAGGCTTCGTTCCTTATGTATCGTTCCTTAGGTCAGGCCGATGACTGTAGCTGCTAAGAAAACCGAAGAGGTAGGGTGATAAGTTCGCCGAGATTCCGAGCAGTACAGTCGGGGCCCTGAAGAAGGAACCCTTTTCGTTGGGGAGGGGCTCCGCGTTCCTTAAGTGTTTCGCGGCTTGCCTCAGGTGTTCCTTGTGTTTTCGATCGGACGTCGAAGTTCAACCTATGGAGAAAAGAAAGGAGCCTCGTTCCTTATTCAGGGTTCCTTAGGTCAACGCCCCGACTGTAGCTCGATGTTGGAAAAAAGTTCTGCCCTCCACCAGTGCACGTGAATGCGCACCGCCCTGGGCGGGTTGGGGCTATCGGGCCCCTCTCGGCGATCAGTGGGCGATTGGGGGTCGACGCGCACCTCCCAGCGCCCAACCCCCCTCTCGCTGCCCCTGGCGTGACTTGTTCCCCGAAGCTTGTGGATCGGAGAGGCCGCCAGCCCGCGTCCCCCGAGACGGGGGGCCCCGCCGCGCGGGCGCCGGCAAGGGGCGGCCCAAGGCCCGTCACGCATGCACACGCTCGAAGGCCTCG